AAAGAAACTTTAAACGGTTTACACCACAAACTCTAACAGACTCTTAATCGACAAACTTACGACAAGCGACAACTGAAACACCTATTCCTTGGATTCCTGGATCTATACCCATGTTATATAGCCATGTTGGCTATATACCCAGTGCAGATTCGCCATACCGCGAGGACGAACGCAAAAAATCCGGAACACCAAAAGTTTTACCATTTCCTTCAAATATAATGTAAGAGTTCTCAATGACCGCGAGCCAGAAGCGGTCGGCTGTGCCTCACCGAGCGTACTAGTCAGTACTAGTGTGTACATAGCAAGTGCCTGGCACTGCTCTGTGACACAGTGGGTTCCTGACTCAGACATTGAAGCATGCTGACTTGAGGGTAGTCATGCGCTTAAGTCACGTGAACATTCACGTGAAGTGAGAGTAGTCATGCGCTTAAGTCACGTGAACATTCACGTGACGTGAGGGTAGTCATGCGCTTAAGTCACGTGAACATTCACGTGACGTGAGAGTAGTCATGCGCTTAAGTCACGTGAACATTCACGTGACGTGAGGGTAGTCATGCGCTTAAGTCACGTGAACATTCACGTGAAGTGCGCCCTACCTTTCACGAGTGTAAACAAAATATAAATATATAATTTTGATGTAAAAGCGACCGGCCATATCGGAGTACCTGGCCATATTGGAGTACCTGGCCATATCGGAGTACCTGGCCATATTGGAGTACCTGGCCATATTGGAGTACCTGGCCATATTGGAGTACCTGGCCATATTGGAGTACCTGGCCATATTGGAGTACCTGGCCATATTGGAGTACCTGGCCATATTGGAGTACCTGGCCATATTGGAGTACCTGGATTGTACCTGGATGGTGTTCTGAGAGTAGTTCTACTCCCCCCAAGCCAGACCCGGGGCCAGGCTTGACTATAATGTATAATGTCCGTGGCTTTTTCACAAAATATTATGAAATAATGTGGAAATAGTCATTTTTTAGGCCTAGGGGAAGTTAGGTTATAGTTACAATTCCATTTTTGGCATGGTATTTGGAGTTTTCTAGTGGTTGAAAACGCGAACTATTTTGAGAGGAGGTACAATAGTTCATTTACATACGTTCAACCAAGAAATGCCATGATTACACACATAAGGGTTCTGGGATCCTCTCAGACGTAGGTTCGAACCCTCGTCACAACCCTTGTGGATTTGTCCAATGCCATAATTGTTGTCATATTTGGAGGAGAATTGCAAAATGACATGACGGTGGATCCTTCAATCTCCCACTGCGTCCCCAACCACTTGGGCTGGACGGTAGAGCGACGGTCTCGCTTCATGCAGGTCGGTGTTCAGTTCCCGACCGTCCAAGTGGTTGGCCACCATTCCTTCCCCCCGTCCCATTCCAAATCCTTATCTTGACCCCTTCCCAGTGCTATATAATCGTATTGGCTTGGCGATTTCCCCCTATAGTTTCCTTTCCTTTTCCCACTGCGCCCCCCCCTTCTCCCTCTATTACGTCAACAAAATATTCAATCATCAATCACCTCCGCTTTAATAATTCTGCCCAGCGCCTCGATAGCTCTACTCTCTTCTGGTAAATCTCTCACCTGCTACAAAGGGCCTTCTCTTCCATCCACTTAAGTCATTCCGGAAGCACTCACCAGAATTGCTTCCGCGAGTCCATGCAGGTGAATGGGGGAGATACTCAGACTCATGGTGAGTCCATAGGGGGGGAAGAGAAAGGTACATGGGTTTCTTAAAAGTCCGCGAGGGAGTAGGAAGTAAACAGGTTTCTTTCGAGTCCAAGGGGAGTAGAAAGGTACTCAGGCTTTTGATGAGTAAATAGGAGGAATGGGAGGCACTCGGACTTCCGATGAGTCTATGGAGGAAGAGGATCAATGCGTAACTGATGAGTCAATATGGTGGTGGGTGGGGGGGGGGAAGAGATATTTTGACATCGTTTATGTGCAATAAAATAAGTAACATTAGATACAAGAAATAAATATTCTACAAATAAATTGATTTATAATAAAACTGATAAATAATGCATAACTTACAGAATAAAAACAACCATTAAATGTGTTAATAAAGCAGGCTATGGTGGAGGCGGCGGGCCATGTTGAGGTAACACTATGTTGGCCATGTTGGAAGAGCACCAAAGGCACCAAAAATGGCGCCATTCCAGAACGGTGTCATCACTTTTGGAGGCACCTGTGGTGGTTTTCCCTGGGGGAGGCTCCTCAACCACAAAATGTTTCAGAATTAAGGGATCCCAACAGTTGTCCCTGAGGGGGAAAGGGGGGGGGGGATATGGACGTGCAAGAGTAAAACCCCGGCAGTCAATTACGACCCCGGGGGTCAATTAAGACCTCGGGGGGTCAATTAAGACCTCGGGGGGTCAATTAAGACCTCGGGGGGTTAATTAAGACCCCGGGGGTCAATTAAGACCCCGGGGGTCAATTAAGACCCCGGGGGTCAATTAAGACCCCGGGGGTCAATTAAGACCCCGGGGGTCAATTAAGACCCCGGGGGTCAATTAAGACCCCGGGGGGTCAATTAAGACCCCGGGGGGTCAATTAAGACCCAGGGGGTCAATTAAAACCCCGGGGGTCAATGAAGACCCCGGGGGTCAATTAAGACCCCGGGGTCAATTACGACCCCGGGGGTCAATTAAGACCCTGGGGGTCAATTAAGACCTCGGGGGGGTCAATTAAGACCTCGGGGGGGTCAATTAAGACCCCGGGGGGTCAATTAAGACCCCGGGGGGTCAATTAAGACCCCGGGGGGGTCAATTAAGACCCCGGGGGGTCAATTAAGACCCCGGGGGGTCAATTAAGACCCCGGGGGGTCAATTAAGACCCCGGGGGTCAATTAAAACCCCGGGGGTCAATTAAGACCCCGTGGGGTCAATTAAGACCCCGGGGGGTCAATTAAGACCCCGGGGGTCAATTAAGACCATGGGGGGTCAATTAAGACCCCGGGGGGTCAATTAAGACCCCGGGGGTCAATTAAGACCCCGGGGGGTCAATTAAGACCCCCGGGGTCAATTAAGACCCCGGGGGTTAATTAAGACCCCGGGGGGTCAATTAAGACCCCGGGGGTCAATTAAAACCCCGGGGGTCAATTAAGACCCCGTGGGGTCAATTAAGACCCCGGGGGTCAATTAAGACCATGGGGGGTCAATTAAGACCCCGGGGGTCAATTAAGACCCCGGGGGGTCAATTAAGACCCCGGGGGGTCAATTAAGACCCCGGGGGTCAATTAAGACCTCGGGGGGGTCAATTAAGACCCCGGGGGGTCAATTAAGACCCCCGGGGTCAATTAAGACCCCGGGGGGTCAATTAAGACCTCGGGGGGGGGTCAATTAAGACCTGGGGGGGGTCAATTAAGACCCCGGGGGACAAGGATCCAACCACCACTGAACACAGTAAATGTGTCATTATTGTTATTGTTAATATAATGTTTATTATCAAAAAATCTATTTTGAAAATTCACAAGATTTCACGAATCTTAGAGACCAGCCTATCACATTCTCTAAGCCACTTCAAACACCTTAGTATATCAAGGCCAAACACCCTCCCTATATGTCAAGGCCAAACACCCTCCCTTTATGTCAAGGCCAAACACTCTCCCTATATGTCAAGGCCAAACACCTTCCCTATATGTCAAGGCCAAACACCCTCCCTTTATGTCAAGGCCAAACACCCTCCCTATATGTCAAGGCCAAACATTCTCCCTATATGTCAAGGCCAAACACCCTCCCTTTATGTCAAGGCCAAACATTCTCCCTATATGTCAAGGCCAAACACCCTCCCTTTATGTCAAGGCCAAACACCCTCCCTATATGTCAAGGCCAAACATTCTCCCTATATGTCAAGGCCAAACACCCTCCCTTTATGTCAAGGCCAAACACCCTCCCTATATGTCAAGGCCAAACATTCTCCCTATATGTCAAGGCCAAACACCCTCCCTTTATGTCAAGGCCAAACACTCTCCCTATATGTCAAGGCCAAACACCTTCCCTATATGTCAAGGCCAAACACTCTCCCTATATGTCAAGGCCAAACACCTTCCCTATATGTCAAGGCCAAACACTCTCCCTATATGTCAAGGCCAAACACCTTCCCTATATGTCAAGGCCAAACACTCTCCCTATATGTCAAGGCCAAACACCTTCCCTATATGTCAAGGCCAAACACCTTCCCTATATGTCAAGGCCAAACACCCTCCCTATATGTCAAGGTCAAACACCCTTCCTATATGTCAAACACCCTCCCTATATCACCCTCAAGGGACGCTCCAGGGTGATTGGGGTTCGTTTGCTATTTAAAGATCGTTCCAGCCTCCTATGAACAGTCGCAGCTCACAAATATCGACGTTTTCTATGAATCGGACACGATAGGTTAAGTGGGTTGCTTGGGTACGCTTCTGGTTAACTTAGGAGGTTGAATTTTTGACGTAGCAGCGAATAAAGAGAACCGGTTGTACCCCTAGTCTTATCGAGGTCCCCCCCTTTCAACCCAGGTTAATTATTGATCTTCACAACAGATGACTATTTCCTAGGTGATCAGAGGCATCAGATGTTAGAAAACGTGCCCAACCCTCTATGTCATGCTCAGGGGGATAGAACCAGGGAAATTCTCGATTGTGAGTCCAGGACTCACAATTATTGAGAGTTCATTGTGCAAAATTTACATATAATTTGTATTATCTGGCATTGTTCATATTTGTAAATTTGCTTTAACTATTTTATATAATCTTAACGAATATATAGTAAAACACTTCGTAATTTGTTAATTATAATGAACATTTCGTAAAGTACCCCACACAAACATTTCGTTTTTTCTAACAAAAAATATACTTAAAGAAAACGTAAAATGTACTGACATTTTATGATATACTAATATATTTTATACTATTTCTCGTTGTATGGATTTTACATTATTTTATTATGGATAATGCTATTTTTTAGGCGTTACAAATTGAAACAAGGCACTTAACTTTCATCTCTCCACAGGAGGCCGAGGACCTCGATATTGACCTCTCCGACCCTGAACTGAACAAGGCGGCTACCAAAATCCAGGCCACCTTCCGTGGACACAAACAGAGGGCGAGTGACCACTGATGATCTTAAAGCTGTCCTATTACCACCTGCACCCCCACCTCGCCCCCCACTACTACCACCTGCACCCCCACCCAACCACGCCATCACCACGCCCCGCCACGCCTCCTCAACCATCTACCTGTCGCTACAACAGCAGCCAACTGGGAGCGCAAAGAGCAAGACTCAAGAGTTTATTTGGAGGCTACGGCGAAGCTGCTGATACCACAACAGTCAAGAAAACGCCAGCAGACGCCAACACACATTAGCAGACGCCAACACACACTAGCAGACGCCAGTAAACTCCACCAGACACTAACAAATATGACAATCTAAAAACAAACAAAATATCCAAGGGTAATGCGGAAGGAATGATGAAATCAACATAAATTAAGAATTACAAATAATAACAATTTACAAACTCTGGATATTCTGGAAAAAAATAGCCATACCAATGAACTTGCTAAAAGATTAGATTAATTGATTTATGGACTTCTTACAACAATTTTGCTTGGTGTCTGCCTTGCTCTCGATTTCGGGACAGGAAGGCGTGTCGTCTGGGCTAGAGGAGCATCGAGGGACATACCAATCCTGGGCCAAGTATTAATCTAGCATTTACGAAACCAATACATCATTCATTAATCAATGCCAGCTTTGTTTACATTCAACACACAGTTTTGGAGCTCCAATAATTCACAACCCAAGGTTATATTATTATAAACAACCTCGTAGTGCTTCGGAGCTCAAATTGTCTTTTAAATGCAAACAATGCCCCACATGATTAAGAAAAGATGTAGAGGTTTCATAAACAGACACGTAAATGTTTGATAAATCCTGGCTACGTTGGGGCCTATATATCAGTGGTTATTGACTGGTGTAGGACGTCCTTGTCTGTTATTCTAGTTCTTGGACTACGTGTTCTTCGCGCAGGTTATATGTTGGCAAGTGTTCTCCTCTCGTGTGTGTGTGTGTGTGTGTGTGTGTGTGTGTGTGGGGCGAGGTTCCTCCCTTTTGTTTGGCCGGAAGATGGCTCCTACGCCTCTTTTGCTGTTTAGAGTGTGACTTTTGTAACTTTATTTGTCATTCTTTTGTTCTCATGAGACCGTGTATAGTGCGAGTATCTAGAGTTGATAAGTAGATATATTCATGATGATTACCTCCCCTGTGACTGCTTCCTAAGATGTATAAGCTTTCCTCATCTTTATCGCCTGAAAACTCCTCTTTTTTTTAAAGTTTTGCTGTTATCACTACAGTCTGAGAGTGGGTACTATACGTCGAGTCTTCAAAATATATCTTAAGATTTTTTTTGTCTTGCTATTAAAATAAGAAGATTGACAAGATATTAGCGATACTGAAAAATACTAACTTTTCTATGTTGTTATTGAGATAGGAATTTATTGTGCTTAATGGGTAATAAAACTGCTATATCAGAATGTATTAATAAAAGATGTATATTCTCTACTACGTCTTCATAACTGGCTTCGTTGTGAAATAATTTGAGAATGGTTGTAACTTTTCATCCAGGGTTCGTGTAACTTAAGTATGGACAAAGCATTTCTTATATAATTTAATTCTTGAACGTCTCTATTATAGGTAACGTCAATAGTTGTCTCTCAGTAGCCAATTGATGCTAGGACCAACGAGGTCTCCAAATTGAAGTCTCAAGCCATATGTGTGGCTTTGGTACGGTGGGAATCTCGGTTCAAGGAAGGTCTCTCTTGCAGCAGTTGGCGCTCGGTAATGGAGTAGCGACGCTGGTGGTGGTGGTGGCGTCGGCGGCGAAGTGTAGAAGCGGTGATGTGTATGCGTCAAGGTACGTCAAGGTCGGGGGCCTTGACGTACCATGACGCACCTCGCCAACGCATCTGTTCCCTCTCCGTTGCTCGATGCTGCAGGGAACTCTTCCTGTGAACTCCCTACTCTGCCTGTGTACCACGGATAGCTCTTGTTTTCGAACGTTAGATTGTGTTTTGTTTATGTCTCGGCTATAGGTGGAAGTGTGGACGTCGAACCCAAACTTAGGGACTTCAACCCTCTTCTAAGAGTTTATCCAAGACTTCGTCCACATGCTCGGACATCGCCTTCCAGATACGGATGTTGACATATCCATTCCGTCTGACAGACGCCAAAATTGGAAAAAAATGGCTTCCATTTAATGCCATGTTATCGAGTAAGCAGTTTAGTCAAATAAAAATCCTTGATATAATCAATCCGTAACTGGACGAGAAGTCACTATAATATTTCACATTTCGATGTCTGTTTCCCCGCTTTTGTGGAAAAAATATATATATAATCCACGCTTTTGTGAACTCAAAATGTCTAGGCTTATCTACGCCTGTGTGTGTGTGTGTGTTATAGAAACTTATCTCTCTTCGATAGACAATTGACTATCTGTGCCTGCTACGGTACACAGTGCAAGAGTGCAACAGAGTGAACAACCCACACAACCCACAACCACCATTACCACTTAATGGCTCACATTAGCAACAAAAATTCTTCTTTACTCCCTAAATACAAATAGTTACTTTCAGAAAATAAAGAAATTTGTCTGATACTTATAGTTACTCGTTCAACTGGACTACTAATGTGTACAAGTGCTTTATTACCCATCATCACTGCCCATTTAATTTTATATAAAAAAATAATTAAATACGTTTTAGTGAAGGGCTTAAAGTGTTGAGAATTTTGTGGTTTGTCTTTTCTTGTAAATGTTAAAAATTAATTCATTTTATCTTGATAGTACCATTTTTATTTTTATTGCAAATTACTAAATGAATATTGTTATAGAATATAAATGTCAAAGTTGTCAAATTTATGAGATTATATATATTTATGATATATATATATATATATATATATATATATATATATATATATATATATATATATATATATATATATATATATATATATATATATATATATATATATATATATATATATATATATATATATATATATATATATATAAGGTCTTACCTATCATTGTATAGATAATATTGAGTGTGGTATACAATGCTGAAGAAATCTTCCTTCCCATTAAGGTTGAGTCCATGTCAGCAGAGTCAGTGCATGCTTCTTTCAATTTCAATCATATTTCGTGGTTCAATTTATTGTTGTATTTAAGACTACATTGTTGGAGAGACGAGGTGCTTGGGGAGTGCTGGAGGCAGCCAGCTGACCCAGGACCTCAACTCTAGCCCACAACAGCATATTCTATACTTCTCAGGAGTTGGTCTAAACTTATGACGCCATATGAAGTATTTCATGTATTCTGCCGTGAGTAAGGTGGTGGTTGTCATAGGTTAGTGGGGGTGTTGGGCGTGGGTTGTAGGTGGGTTGGGGGTCTCTTTCACCCACCTACACCTGCTTGTGGCTTGCAGGTGGGTTAGGAGCCTCGTTCACCCATCTACACCTGCTACTGGCTTGTAGGTGGGTTAGGAGCCTCGTTCACCCATCTACACCTGCTACTGGCTTGTAGGTGGGTTAGGAGCCTCGTTCACCCATCTACACCTGCTACTGGCTTGTAGGTGGGTTGGGAGCATCGTTCACCCATCTACACCTGCTACTGGCTTGTAGGTGGGTTGAGAGCCTAATTCACCCACCTACACCTCACTGACTACCCAACCTCTCTTTGTTGAACTTTGAAACCAATCCAACCAATAAGCCTGTATATTGTTCATATTTTTAAGACAAATTTTTTCAAGTTATCACCCATTGGTTTACTGAGCTTTTACAGCCAGTGATCTATGGGAGATCATTAGGCCTAACCGAATTTGACATATGGTCATTTCAATTAACCTAAAAAAAAAACAAATATGAAAAAGTAAGCCTCTCTCTCACCCTTACACCGCCTAGCCATGATGTGCATCGAGGCGCGTCTTTGCAACGCTGCCAACAACAACAGCTCCGTTGAACATACACCTGACTGAAAGCTATCGTCACTACAGCAGTTTACATACAAGAAAAACAGGGATTCCAGGTGTTTTATAATATATATATTATATGCTTTTCACGCTCACTCCTATCCTGATGCTGGCCGCCGAGCTTTGTCAGCTCCTGTTTGTCTCATTGTTAACGATGGAGTTTCTTTAGTAAATTGCAACTAATAAAAACAAAACCAATATATATTATATATATATATATATATATATATATATATATATATATATATATATATATATATATATATATATATATATATATATATATATATATATATATATATATATATATACCTTCAAAATCGGACACATTAAATATTTTTACATCTTGGGAAAATTTATGTGTAAAACAAAAGCAAATAATAATAATAATAATAATTCATTCATTTTTTATTATTATTCATACTTTACAGTAAATTTAGGGCTATGCATTTTAATATTTATTTTGATAGAACCAAAAGTGCATCTGAGATAGCGACAAGGAGCCACCTAGCGGCTTTGAGGTGAAACTAAGTCCAAAAGAGTCGTAATCCTGTCGCAATAGTTCAGGAAACAGATCACCTCATCCACAACATGGGTTAATTATCTGATTTTAAACCCTACCTCACCTTACCCAAACCCTACCTAACCTTACCCAAACCCTACCTGTCGCAACCCAACCTAACACGTCATAACCTAAGCAAATACACCCAAACCTGATTCACACAGTTTTTGACAATCAGAAATGGAGCTTTTTTCCGATCTTGAGAACGATTTGACCAACTCGGTGCCAGAAAGAACATAGGAAGGTGGCGTTCAACGCGGCGTTCAACGTGTTCACAGCGCCCTGCGACAGTTCTCTGAGTTCTCTACTTTCCTCACTTGAGCAATAATCAATGTAAAACTTGTTATTTAGCGTAGACGCATCTAAACTTTCTGCCCACAGTAGGGACTGTGGCTTACAGCCAGTGGCACTGCTCTCGTTTTCACTGGCACCGTCATACCACGGTGGCACTGTTGCCAGTGATCCTTCACTAGCAACGTCACCGTTACAATCAACCCAATCACCTCGGAGATTGTCTTCACGCTCTTCACATCTGTTTAGCCACCCTCATATCCTCAAGGATATGAGGATAAGGCAGTGGGATATAAGGATATGGAGTTGGAATAGGACGGAGTGAAGGACCAACTGGGATCGAACGCTGACCTGCAAGAAACGAAGCCATCATTGAGGATCAAATTGCACGTCAAAGTATTTAGCCTGGGGGTCGAACACGGCATTCGGGACACTTGCTAGACTATATACAAGACATAAGAGTGAACATGTGTTTTGTTCATGCTAGCTTTTGAACATGTATAACATGGGGTTTGTTCATGCTAGCCTTTGAACATGTATAACATGGGTTTTGCAGCATGCTAAACATGGGCATTGCAACAGGCCAGACATATGCAAGCTAAGCAACATACTCCAGCTAAGAACCTTGTTTCTTGATTGTTGAACTGCTTCTATGAAATTCAACTTCTCAAAGGTACCGGATGATTGACAACCTTCTACCTGATGTGGCTTTAGAAGGAGACGTAGCAGTGATTGACAGGTCCTGCCTGGTGATTTATATATAAATCTATATACACACACACGCTGCATATTAACTACAATCCCAGTATTGTCAGCGGTCCGGCCGAATAAAACAATTGTATTGTATTTTTTCCTCTTTTTCACAAAGATCTCATTTTAAGGCTCCATTGACAGTTGTGTGGTGATTCATGTGTAAAAGTTGGGATCCGAGGGAAAGGGTGGGGTGGTGCGGGCGTGGGGAGGGGGGAGGCGAGTGAAGCTGCAGGTGTGGGGAGGGGGGATGCGAGTGAAGCTACAGGTGTGGGTAAGGAGTGAGAGTGAAGCTACAGGTGTGGGTAAGGATTGAGAGTTTAGCTACAGGTGTGGGTAAGGAGTGAGAGTGAAGCTACAGGTGTGGGTAAGGAGTGAGAGTGAAGCTACAGGTGTGGGTAAGGAATGAGAGTGAAGCTACAGGTATGGGTAAGAAGTGAGAGTGAAGCTGCAGGTGTGGGTAAGAAGTGAGAATGAGGCTATAGGTGTGGGTAAAGGGTGAGAATGAAGCTACAGGTGTGAGTAAGAGGTGAGAATGAAGCTACAGGTGTGGGTAAGGAGTGAGTGAAGCTACAGGTGTGGGTAAAGGGTGAGAGTGAAGCTACAGGTATGGATAAAGGGGAGAATGAAGCTACAGGTGTGGGTAAAGAGTGAGAATGAAGCTACAGGTGTGAGTAAAGAGTGAGAATGAAGCTACAGGTGTAAGAGGTGAGAATGAAGCTACAGGTGTAAGAGGTGAGAATGAAGCTACAGGTGTGGGTAAAGAGTGAGAATGAAGCTACAGGTGTGGGTAAAGAGTGAGAATGAAGCTACAGGTGTGGGTAAAGGGTGAGAATGAAGCTACAGGTGTGGGTAAAGGGTGAAAATGAAGCTACAGGTGTGGGTAAGAAGTAAGAATGAAGCTACAGGTGTGGGTAAAGGGTGAGAATGAAGCTACAGGTGTGGGTAAAGGGTAAGAATGAAGCTACAGGTGTGGGTAAAGGGTAAGAATGAAGCTTCAGGTGTGGGTAAAGGGTGAGAATGAAGCTACAGGTGTGGGTAAAGGGTGAGAATGAAGCTACAGGTGTGGGTAAGAAGTAAGAATGAAGCTACAGGTGTGGGTAAGGGGTGAGAATGAAGCTACAGGTGTGGGTAAGGAGTGTGTGAAGCTACAGGTGTGAGTAAAGGATGAGAATGAAGCTACAGATGTGGGTAAAGGGTGAGAATGAAGCTACAGGTATGGGTAAGAAGTAAGAATGAAGCTACAGGTGTGGGTAAAGGGTGAGAAATAATCTACCTATGAAGGAAGGTTTAGGACGCCCCCCTCTCCTCAATACCCCCCCCCCCGCCCCCCCTCCAGTACTCAACCCTCAACAGACCAAAAACTGGGGTGTTAATGCTATTCAATTTTATGTTGTGTATACTCTGAACTCTTGATCTTGTCCCATGTAATACTCGACTATACTTTGGTAAAGTTCTTGAATTATATTCTTGGAATCCAAATTAAGTATGTTTAATTTTGTCCTCGCGTTAACAGATAGATATAACCGCACTTGGATCGTCGGGGGATCGAACGCCGACCCGGCAAGAAGCAGGCGAGTGGCTGCTGCTCAACCCATGTAGCAGAACAAGTTTTTTAACTTGTTCAATAAAGTCACGAAGAATGGTCGAGATGGCTTTTTAGCTGGTTCGATCCCATAGCATAACCTTAGTAATTTCTCAGATACATCATGCTATTGTGACAGCATTAGGCATGACGAGTGTGTCATACACACTGACATGTGTCTTAGGTGACTAAGTGACAGGTTTGATTCCTGGCGGGACAATAAGCTTGTTTCCTTTCACCTTATGCCTCTGTTCATCCAGCAGTAAAAAAATAACGATATCCTCTGTTCATCCAGCAGTAACGATTCCAGGGACCTGCCCGAAACGCTACGCGTACTAGTGGCTGTACAAGAATGTAACAATTCTTGTATATATCTCAAAAAAAAATAAAAAATACCTGAGAGGGGCTGCATCCTGGGAAAGTTAGTAACTCGACATATATTATATATATATATATATATATATATATATATATATATATATATATATATATATATATATATATATATATATATATATATATATATATATATATATATATATATATATATATATGCGAACAAGCCTGAATGGACCCCAGGCATATATGCAACTGAAAGCTCACACCCCAGAAGTGACTCGAACCCATACTGCCAGGAGCACTCTGCAACTGGTATACAGGACACCTTAACCACTCGACCATCACGACCGGACAAAAGATGATGGTAGCCGAGTTTTCAGTTGGGTCTCTGGTGGTGCCAATGAGCTTGGAACCAAATTCTTCAAGTAAACCCAAGGCGCTCCTACCTCTGAGGCGAAGCATCTGAGATGGGGCCAAGGTATACTGAGTTTCCAGTTATCTACACTCGTTTGATTTTACTGTTTCCCTGTAGTTCGGCCGCACCAGTTGCCTGATTCATTTAGCTCCATATACGATTCTTGCCAATATGAGTACTTTGACTCGTACAAAATAGATGAATTCATTTCAGAATATTAATATTTTAAGGCAGTTGGAACTCGCTTATTTTCACCTCATTTAACAAGGAGGCAAACGTTGAAATTCTATATAAACAAAGTTACTCATTACAGCTATTTTCAACCATATGGAAACGGCGTGGCTTTTAAACAATTACATTTTTACATTTACATTAAATAAAAGTTTTACTTGAGTTTCTCCTAGTAACAGCTCTCTACAGCTGCGAGTAAAAGAAAACGTAAATATTAACAAGAATGGCATAACTTTAGTAAAATAAAAAATATTTATAGTAATAAATTGCGTCAGGGGACAGGCAGCCAGAGTGTATTCATACACATTAGGGTTATATCGAGGTTGGCACTCCACCCCCTAAGGTCGAACTACTGTTCTCGGCCAGGATGCAACCCCACAGCAAACCGACTGACTCCTAGGTACGTACTTACTGCTAGGTGGAGAGAGCAGTACTGCTAGGTGGAGAGGGCAGTACTGCTAGGTGGAGAGGGCAGTACTGCTAGGTGGAGAGGGCAGTACTGCTAGGTGGAGAGGGCAGTACCGCTAGGTGGAGAGGGCAGTACTGCTAGGTGGAGAGGGCAGTACTGCTAGGTGGAGAGGGCAGTACTGCTAGGTGGAGAGGGCAGTACTGCTAGGTGGAGAGGGCAGTACTGCTAGGTGGAGAGGGCAGTACTGCTAGGTGGAGAGGGCAGTACTGCTAGGTGGAGAGGGCAGTACTGCTAGGTGGACAGGGCAGTACCGCTAGGTGGACAGGGCAGTACCGCTAGGTGGACAGGGCAGTACTGCTAGGTGGAGAGGGCAGTACTGCTAGGTGGACAGGGCAGTACCGCTAGGTGGACAGGGCAGTACCGCTAGGTGGACAGGGCAGTACCGCTAGGTGAAGCGGGCAGTACCGCTAGGTGGAGCGGGCAGTACCGCTAGGTGGAGCGGGCAGTACCGCTAGGTGGAGCGGGCAGTACCGCTAGGTGGAGCGGGCAGTACCGCTAGGTGGAGCGGGCAGTACCGCTAGGTGGAGCGGGCAGTACCGCTAGGTGGAGCGGGCAGTACCGCTAGGTGGAGCGGGCAGAACCGCTAGGTGGAGAGGGCAGTACTGCTAGGTGGAGAGGGCAGTACCGCTAGGTGGAGAGGGCAGTACCGCTAGGTGGAGAGGGCAGTACTGCTAGGTGGAGAGGGCAGTACTGCTAGGTGGAGAGGGCAGTACTGCTAGGTGGAGAGGGCAGTACTGCTAGGTGGAGAGGGCAGTACTGCTAGGTGGAGAGGGCAGTACTGCTAGGTGGAGCGGGCAGTACCGCTAGGTGGACAGGGCAGTACTGCTAGGTGGACCGGGCAGTACTGCTAGGTGGACAGGGCAGTACTGCTAGGTGGAGAGGGCAGTACCGCTAGGTGGAGAGGGCAGTACCGCTAGGTGGAGAGGGCAGTACTGCTAGGTGGAGAGGGCAGTACTGCTAGGTGGAGAGGGCAGTACTGCTAGGTGGAGAGGGCAGTACTGCTAGGTGGAGAGGGCAGTACTGCTAGGTGGAGAGGGCAGTACTGCTAGGTGGAGAGGGCAGTACTGCTAGGTGGAGAGGGCAGTACTGCTAGGTGGAGAGGGCAGTACTGCTAGGTGGAGCGGGCAGTACTGCTAGGTGGAGCGGGCAGTACCGCTAGGTGGAGCGGGCAGTACCGCTAGGTGGAGCGGGCAGTACCGCTAGGTGGAGCGGGCAGTACCGCTAGGTGGAGCGGGCAGTTCCGCTAGGTGGAGCGGGCAGTACCGCTAGGTGGAGCGGGCAGTACCGCTAGGTGGAGCGGGCAGTACCGCTAGGTGGAGCGGGCAGTACCGCTAGGTGGAGCGGGCAGTACCGCTAGGTGGACCGGGCAGTACCGCTAGGTGGACCGGGCAGTACTGCTAGGTGGACCGGGCAGTACCGCTAGGTGGACAGGGCAGTACTGCTAGGTGGACCGGGCAGTACTGCTAGGTGGACCGGGCAGTACTGCTAGGTGGACCGGGCAGTACTGCTAGGTGGACCGGGCAGTACTGCTAGGTGGACCGGGCAGTACCGCTAGGTGGACCGGGCAGTACTGCTAGGTGGACCGGGCAGTACCGCTAGGTGGACCGGGCAGTACTGCTAGGTGGACCGGGCAGTACCGCTAGGTGGACCGGGCAGTACCGCTAGGTGGACCGGGCAGTACTGCTAGGTGGACCGGGCAGTACTGCTAGGTGGACCGGGCAGTACCGCTAGGTGGACAGGGCAGTACCGCTAGGTGGACCGGGCAGTACTGCTAGGTGGACCGGGCAGTACTGCTAGGTGGACAGGGCAGTACTGCTAGGTGGACAGGGCAGTACTGCTAGGACATGAGGTGATAGGAAATGCGCCCAACCATTTCTGTTCCGCCCGGGGATGCGAACCCGGAATTCAAGGTTGTGAGTCGAGAACAAACCCGAGTGTACTACCGAGACCCTTTAATTTGAATTAATAACTTTAGTAAAAATATCGCCGATTACTAAAGATGATTTTTTTTATTTAACGTAATAAATCCTTTATATAACAAGTATATTTTATTTATTACTATTTTAAATGTCATATTTAAATCTAAAATACAACAAAATCATATATTTTTTATTTAAAAATAATTATGTAATTGGTGTAGCTGAAAATTTTCACTCGAAGTGTTAAAATTATCAACAGGAAGAAAATCAATAACTATCAAATTCCTTCCCATTATTGACACTTATTCAGTACACCTGACTCATCTCACTCAGCCAGGCTCAGTCAGTCTTGATCAAGTCACAAGTCTTCAGTCAAGCCTTGTTATGGTCATCAACTTACAGTCTTGATGACCTCAGAGTTACAGCCCCGCTCCTGTGCCAGGTAAGTCCCCTATGGGGCTCACCATAGCCCGTGCTACTTGAAAACATCTTGTTGCCAGTACCTGAATCCTAGACAAGAACAACAACTTGATGAGCTAGTTACAAAATTTAATGCACATCGTCAACAATGGGCTCGAGACCGACCACAATTATAGAAGCTAAAATAGGCAGTCCCTGAGCCCATTATATATGCCTCCAACCCCTTCCATTACCGCCCACATGATGATTATGGGGGGCATAATAAATGAACTAAACTAAACTAAACTCAGCCGTCCTAATGGAAGCTGTAAATCATTTTTTTTTTTTTTTTTTATTATTTTCTACCACAGACGTGGCCACACATTTACAATGCTAACCAGAATATATACATTTTCTTCTGTCCTCCATGGACAGGGTTAGAGAAGTGTTAAACATACAGTTCAAGGGTTTATTGAACACTCAACCACAGAAGGTGATTCGGTGCTTTTAAAATGCTAAGCTAACCTACATACGTAAATACACAGATACACAGATTTACGTATGCCCTACATAAAGTATTAGATGTGTCTTTTACATAGTGTCATTAATGTACATTCACAAAGGTGAAATGTAATTCTGATCAGCTTCCATATATGCTTTATACCCATACCATTGAATGTCTTTTAAACCTTGATCGACGGCCCTCAAACAACAGGCTAATGAATCACGGTGTCTTCAAGGGAGTAGATGACGAACTTAGAAAGTACTTAGAAAGAATGTCCCGGGGTACTTTTTCTTTTTTTTAAGAAGAATCAGGTGCACAGGAAACGGTGCCTAAACGTTTCTGTCCACCACCCGAGGGACGAAGATGGGATTATCGAGTGCCAGACGAGAACGCAGACCACTACACAAGCCTCCCCTGGAAGCCATACAAATCCTCAAGTGCTACTTATGTTAAAAATCTTTTTTTTTTAACAAAAAAATCCTTAAAAAATAAAATTTAGGATATTATGATTATTTAATATAAAAAAGATTACTTACTTAAAAAAAATTGGATATTATGATCACTTAAATGACCGGCCAGATGATTTGAGGTCACATAGTTAATGATGCAAGAAAACTCAC